GGTTCAGCGTCTTAACCACTTGAGCCACCGCAGCTCCAGGGTAGACCAGGATATAAATCTCAGAAATAAAGATGGAACCCGCGTTCTAGCTGTTATCTGAAGAAGAGAGCAGTGACTCACGGAAGCTCATCCCCGGCCGCAAATTTTTGTTACGCCTTTAAGGCGCTATTGGACTCTTGCTCTTTTCTATAGGTTCGGATGGTCCGACCCAGGGGCTCCCAAACGTTTTCGGGGTACCGCCCCCTTGGTTCCATCAACTCATCCCCAGAGTTCCCTACCCCACCCTATAAAAAGCATTGTTCGGAATAGCTGACTGCATGACCCACTAAGGAAGGTAATGATTTAAAAATTCAAAAACGGTAACAACTTTGGGGTGCCATTTCCCAGCATGGTGCCGTAACCTGGTCAGTCGTAAACAGGTCGGTAATGCAGTCAGAGGAGCCCTCCTCCCCGACCCCTTCTCTCTTAGCAAGCCCCCTCCCGGTAATCCCACCCCCCAGGGGGATACCACCCACTTTGGGAACAATGCTCCCTCTAAGCTGTGGAGTCTTGTGAGCAAAAATTCCACTCTGTGAGCTACTGGCATTAAAGTTGTGAGTGAGCGATTTAGCTACTGCATGAATTAGTTTGTTCTGGAACCATCCTTGCCGAGCTAAGACAAAAATCTGTGAGCCGGAGGCTAGAAAACTGTGAGCTATCTCACGCTAACTCAGCTTAGAGGGAACGTCGTTTGGGAACCACTGGCCTAACCCATGACATTTACTACCCACAATCGGAGGATGAGGAAGGTGAAATTTGGTTTTGAAACGCTCTGGTCCCTGCAAACCACACTATTCTATTAGGTGCAGTCTCCCACAGCAAAGCTTAACCACGATGCAGTCACTTGGGTGTGACGTGCGAGGCCTGGGTCCAGAACTCGCTTCTTCAGAGGAACGAGTGATCAGAGTGAGTATTGCGCAGGGGGTTGGACTAGATGACCCTGGAGGTCCCTTCCAACTCTATGATTCTATGAAAAGTTGATGGCCAGTAGATGCAGGATGCACAATGAGTGATTAAAATGTGGAATTTGCAGCCAGAGGATATAGTGATGGCCACAAGAATAAACAGCTTTAAAGGGAGATTAGACAGATGCAGGGAAGACAGGTCTATCGTTGGCTACTAGCCATGGTGACTCAGGGGAACCTCCATGTTCAGAAGCAGTCAACCTCTGAATCCCAGTGCCAGGAGGCAACATCAGGGGAAGGCCTCGGCCTCTCTGCCCTGCTGCTGGCCCTCCAGAGGAACTGGTCAGCCACTGTGTGAGACAGGATGCTGGACTAGATGGACCACTGGTCTGATCCAACAGGGCTCACCTTATGCCCTTATGAAGGCCTCTCTGCCCTGTTGTTGGCCCTCCAGAGGAACTGGTCAGCCACTGTGTGAGACAGGATGCTGGACTAGATGGACCACTGGCCTGATCCAGCAGGGCTCTTCTGATGTTCTTATGAAGGCCTCGGCCTCTCTACCGTTGTTGGCCCTCCAGCAGAACTGGTCGGCCACTGTGTGGGACAGGATGCTGGACTAGATGGACCCCTGGATCCAACAGGGCTCATCTTATGCCCTTATGAAGGCCTCAGTCTCTCTGCCCTGTTGTTGGCCCTCCAGAGGAACTGGTCGGCCACTGTGTGAGACAGGATGCTGGACTGGATGGACCCCTGGTCTGATCCAGCAGGGCTCTTCTGATGTTCTTAGGAAGGCCTCAGCCTCTCTGCCCCGTTGTTGGACCTCCAGAGGAACTGGTTGGCCACTGTGTCAGATGGGATGCTGGACTAGATGGGCCACTGGTCTGATCCTGCAGGGCTCTTCTGATGTTCTTATGAAGGCCTCAGCCTCTATGCCCTGTTGTTGGCCCTCCAGAGGAACTGGTTGGCCCCTGTGTGAGACGGGATGCCAGACTAGATGGGCCACTGGGCTGATCCAGCAGGGCTCTTCTGATGTTCTTATGAACAGGACCTTTAGGACAGGGGTCAGCGATATGGGGCCTCAGTCAACAAACCTACCAATGATGCTGTTATTGTTCCCACTTTAAAGATGGGAATCTGAAACAGCTGTATAAGGGATTTCAACAAAACAGAATGGCTCAAGGGGAAGGGAGGAGACGGTGGGAGTTGAATCAAAAACCTAACCCTCTATCCACCTGTACAACAGTCTTAAATGGAGAGGCTAAAGGGGGCGTGGCTCAGTGCTACAGCCTCTGCTTGGCATTGCAGAAGGTCCCAGGTTCAATCCCCGGCATCTCCAGTCAAAACGACCAGGCAGTAGATAACGTGAAAGACCTCTGCCTGAGTCCCTGGAGAGCCATGGCGAGGGGGCGTGGCTCAGTGGAACAGCTTCTGCTGCATGCAGAAGGTCCCAGGTTCAATCCCCGGCATCTCCAGTCAAAACGACCAGGCAGTAGATAACGTGAAAGACCTCTGCCTGAGTCCCTGGAGAGCCATGGCGAGGGGGCGTGGCTCAGTGGAACAGCTTCTGCTGCATGCAGAAGGTCCCAGGTTCAATCCCCGGCATCTCCAGTCAAAACGACCAGGAAGTAGATAACGTGAAAGACCTCTCCCTGAGACCCTGGTGAGGGGCCATGGCTCAGTGGAAGAGGGGCCAAGATTGGAGAGGGGCCATGGCTCAGTGGAAGAGCTTCTGCTTGGCACGCAGGAGGTCCCAGGTTCAATCCCCGGCATCTCCAGTCAAAACGACCAGGAAGTAGATAACGTGAAAGACCTCTCCCTGAGACCCTGGTGAGGGGCCATGGCTCAGTGGAAGAGGGGCCAAGATTGGAGAGGGGCCATGGCTCAGTGGAAGAGCTTCTGCTTGGCACGCAGGAGGTCCCAGGTTCAATCCCCGGCATCTCCAGTCAAAACGACCAGGAAGTAGATAACGTGAAAGACCTCTCCCTGAGACCCTGGTGAGGGGCCATGGCTCAGTGGAAGAGGGGCCAAGATTGGAGAGGGGACATGGCTCAGTGGCAGAGCCTCTGCTTGGCATGCAGAAGGTCCCAGGTTCAATCCCCGGCATCTCCAGTCAAAACGACCAGGCAGTAGGTGACGTGAAAGACCTCTGCCTGAGACCCTGGAGAGCTGCTGCCAGTCTGTGTAAGACAAGACTGACTGTGACGGACAGATTCAGTAAAGGCCGCTTTGCGTGCACAAATGTGTGAATGCACTTCCCCCCCCCCCCCCCCCAAGCTGAGCTTCCTACAGCTTCACGCGGCAGAAGTTCTCCAAGACCGTCAGAAAGACAAAGAACAAAAAAAACCCCACGAACGGCTGATCTTTTAACTTAAAATAAAGTTCATTTCAGAGCCTAAAAAGGAAACGAGGGCAGGAAGTTAAACAGATGCCGATGCCTGCCCGAATCACAGAGAGCGTTGCATTTCTCCCCCCCCCCCCGAAGCCAGCAGGAACACTGCACACCACATGTATAATTCTTTCCTGAGATGAAACGGCACATCATCTCCTCTGATAGCATCTTGGTTCGGGCTGCGGGTACTAGTGAGAATTACGGGCAGCTTCTCTTTAAATCCAGCTTCAGTTTTGAGTGAAGGGGCGCATTAAGGCTTGTTACGCAGCTGCCACTGAAACTCATCGCACAGAGGCGCACGATCGATCAGGTGCCCACGGCCGCCGCTGCCAACTCCCCCCCCCCCAAAGACTTCAGGGCACTTTGGGGAACTGCTGGCTCGCTGTGAGCCTGAACGTGACCAGATTTCTACGCAAAACGGTAGAAAGCAATCGTGTGCTGCTGCCATCTGACTTTCCAGAACTTTATGCTGGTCTGGGTGATGCAGCTTCATATCCAGGGACACGGAAGTTCAACAACGGTCTGAGTATCAGACTATTGCGATGTGGCAAATGTACCTTGCGAGACAAGTGTGGGCAATCGCGACCTGACCAGAGAACAAAGGTAAAGAAAACAGTCGTGAGAGTCTGACCCACAAATCAAGCAGTCAACAAGGCTTGCAAAGAAGATGCTTTCTGTATATTACGGTCAACGAGGACCACAACACAATAAACAGATTCCTTCAAATCATAAGAAAATCCTAGTGTAGAAATACATCATCAACGTCGTCTCCGGATTTTCAAAATTGGATCTTCCTCGGGAAATATCAGAGTAGTACAAAATCTCTCATGCTCATAAAGTGCTTTGCAAAAAATCAGGAAAGATAATACATTTAGATAGGACGCTGATCCGGCGAAATCCAAATGGTGGCGAAATCCAACATCGAGCAGGCGAGCGTTCCGAGTGGGGACTGGTCCGGAGACGCGGAGAGGCAGCGGCGCAGCACAGCCGGAGCCAATCAGGTACAGAGGACGGTGCAGCGGTCGTCGCTTAGTCACGGACGAAGGAACTGCCCCAGAGGGAGCCGCTGCAGAGCTGAGCCAAGCCGGCCACCGTGCGGAGCCAGAGGAGAGAAGAGACGCCGGAAGAACAACAAGCCGGTAGGGTGCCTGATAGGCACTCACCTTCCCCAACTACTATGTGGCCCTAGTTAGGAGTATTAATAAGTCATGTAAACCGCTCAGTGCCTCCGGGATAGAGCGGTATAGACATTGAAAGTTAAATAAATAAATGATTCAGGCTCAAATATGCTGCTAAGCTTCTGATGGATCCGAGGCGTTTGTACTACTCTAATATTTCCTGAGGAAGATCCAATTCTGAAACGTTGTTATATAATCCGGAGACGACGTTGATGATGTATTTTTACACTAGGATTTTCTTATGATTTGAAGGAATTTGTTTATTGCGTTTTAATGCTTGTTGACCTACTATACAGAAAGCATTTTCTTTGCAAGCCTTGTTGACGGCTGGATTTGTGGGTCAGACTCTCACGACTGTTTTCTTTACAAATGTATCTTGTAGCCACGTTTCCCATGCCTGATTTAACTCGTCAGACCAGAACACTGCAGAGGAACAAAAGTTGGGCGGATGCACATTGATGCGACACGCAGCCCAGAGGATGCGCATAGGGATGTAGTGGCTCCTTCTGCCAGGCCAAAACGCCCCCAGGGTATTGGAGATCCCACTGCTGACACCATCCCACCTTCTCTAATGCTTTCTATTTTTCGTGCTTCCAAGGTATCGCGGCTGCAACAGGGTAGAGGAGAGGGGAAAATCCGCTCCTGACAGCGCGCAAAGGAATCCCGGAAGCGGGCAAGGGCCAAGCCAATGGACGTGGCGGTGGCCGATCCACGCTGATGGTTTCCCCCTCTAATAAAACCTCTTCCTGAAGCCCCGTCTGTGGCAGGCTGCAAGACTTCCCCGGCAATTTCTTAGGAAAGTGGTAACAAAGAAAAAGGAAAGATAATCTGCCCGTATACCCCCCAGAACAACCGTTTCACAGCCCAGACAGACAGCTGGGCGAATTCAGATCTGGTCCTGGTTTTTTGGCCCAGTTTGGCTGCTGGGATGAACGAAGTCCAGAAGAGAAGGTTCGGTTCCAGCTCTGAGTTCGCCAGGCGGCACAGAATCCCGGCTGACCGGCGCAACCGACGGAGGCCGAGAGGGAGGCAGGGAAGCTAGAACTCGGTCATCTTCTTGTGCGTGTCCGCTTTCTTCTGCTCTCGCTGCAGGCTGGCCTCCTGGGTCCGCAGCTCGGCCAGTTTCTTGCGGGCACCGGCTAGCTTCTCCTCCAGCTGCGCCGTGGCGATGCTGTGCCTGGAAGCCAAAGGCAGGGGGTTAGGAAGCCTGGCAAGGAGCGTCGACCAGCCCCGGGGGCTCCTTCCCCGCCCTCAGCACAACCCCAGGCATCCAAAATGCACACCAAGGGATGAAAGTATTTTAACACGATGAATAAATATATTTTAGGACAAGGTGTTCAAATATTTTCCAAAATCATTTCTAAAAAATACGTAGGGTATCAGATTGATCTAATTTCTGTGCACTGAGGACAAGCAAGTCCTAGGTTACAAACTGAACTCTCCAATGCAAGAACAAGATGCACTTCTGCCTTTAGGAGGTGCTGTTGTCACAAGAAAAGAAAAAGGTTTCAGTTTTGTTTTTGCATGTGGGTGGGTATACTGTTTGTAATAATTGTTTGGATACGCTATATTTTTAATATGCTAGTTGTGATAATTTCATGCCAAGTTAAAATGTCCATAGTCGTATTTTATGTTCCTAAAGTGACAGGATGACTTTCAATCTGGAAAAGAAAAAAGTGCTAATGTAGCATTTTTTTCAATTTTTCCGAAAATTTCCGTTTCCCCCCGGAAAAAAAACGGGTTTTTCCCCGAGCTTCAAAATTTCCAGAAATTTTACATCTTTAGCCTTGGCTAGTATTTGGATGGGAGACCACCAAGGAAGTCAAGGCTCACTAGGCAGATGGCAAACTGCCTCTGAACATCTCTTGCCTTGAAAACCCTGCAGGTCCTCCACAAGTCACCGCAGCTCTAAAAGTATATTATAGCATTGGGGAAAGTGCAGGAAAGGGCGACTAGAATGACAGAAGGGTTGGAACGCTTTCCCACTGAAGAAAGGTTAAAGCACTTGGGGCTCTTTCGCTTGGAGAAACGAGGACTGAGGGGTGACACGATCGAGGTTTACAAGATGATGCGTGGGATAGAGCAGGTAGAGAAAGAAGTCCTTTTCTCCCTGTCTCACAAGACAAAAACTCGTGGACACTCCATGAAATTGCTGAGCAGTCCGGTTAGAACAGATAAAAGGAAGTCCTTCTTCACCCAAAGAGTGATGGAACACATGGAATTCACTGCCGCAGGAGGTGGCTGCGGCTACAAGCAGGGAAGGCTTCGTGGTTAAGACGCTGAACTGCAGGCTGTGGAAGGTCAGTAGTTCAGCAGTTCGAGACCCGGGTGCCGCATGATGGAGTGAGCTCCCGTCTCTAGTTCCAGCTCCTGCCAACCTAGCAGTTCGAAAGCAAGAAACTGCAAGTAGATAAATAGGTACCACTTCGGTGGGAAGGTAACAGAGTTCCGTGCGCCTTGGTGTTTAGTCATGCCAGCCACATGACCACGGAAACATCTTCGGACAGTGCTGGCTCTTTGGCTTTGAAACGGAGATGAGCACCGCAACCCTAGAGTCGGATTCGACCGGCTTTCGAGCAAGGGAACCCTTTACCTTTACCTTTATAGATAGGTCTGGGGCAAGCGATGGGAGGGCTTCTAGTGTCCTGGCCCCACTGTTGGACCTCCTGAGGGCACCTGGTGTTTTTGGCCACTGTGTGATGGAGTGGTGGACTGGAGGGGCCTTTGGCCTGATCCAACATTGGCTTCTCTTATGTTCTTATGTTTCTATGACTTGATGGCAACAACAACAAACAGGACCCACAGGATGGAAGAAGAAGAGGAGATTGGGTTTATACTCCGCCCTTCACTACCCAAAGGAGTCTCAGAGCAGCTTACAAACTCCTTTCCCTTCCCCTCCCCACCACAGACACCCTGGGAGGGAGGTGGGGCTGAGAGAGCTCTCCAGAGAACTGCCCTTGAGAGAACAGCTCTGAGAGAACTTGTGACTGACCCAAGGTCGCACCAGTAGCTGCATGTGGAGGAGTGCGGAACCAGAGCCGGTTCTCCCAGTGCTCCTAACCACTACACCAAACTGAAAGGGTCAGCAGCAGCAGCAGCAACCACAAATGGCTTGACTGCTACACAGAGCCAGACTCTGTAGACCCTTGAAGGGAATCCATATTCTAGATCAGATACCATCAACCTGGACATGCGGAGCCCAGCTTTGCCAGAAAATGAGTCCCCTGCACGAGGCGCTCTCCTTACCGCCCAACGTTGCGTGCCAGGGCCTCCTGGATCCCGCGGATGTCCTTCTGCGTCTGGTCGATCTTCTCCACCGTCTGGAAGAGGCGGACATTCAAAGCCCTCTTGGTGCTCTTGCTGGCGTGGTAGATCTCCTTGCTGTCCCTCTCCAGTGGGGTCAGCCCCCCTGGCTGCTCCCTGGCGCCCTGGAGCTTCTCGTTCAGGAAATCAAACACGTTCCGCCTGGGGGGCTTGGGGGTCCGGGGAGAGGCCCGGCCGGCGCCGCTCCCTTTCGCCCGCCGTCTCTTGGGTTTGGCTGTGTCAAGTTTCCCCTCACGCTTCTTCTGGAGGATCTCGGCGCACTGGTCCAAGGATTTGCCTTTCGGCAGCACCACGGCTGACACGGGCTCCACGCGGCCCTCTGCGTTCTTCCCCAAACCTGAAACATGGGGGGGGGGGGGGGAGAGGCGGGT